GCAAGATATGACAAAATAATAATTTATAAATTATCAAGTGTTCGTGAGGGAGGGGGCAGCAGGGAGGGGGGCGGAGATGAAGAGCCGATACCAGGGGCTTAAGTGGTGAGCAAATGTTTTGAGAATGATGAGGTGCTTTACACAATTGATGTATGTATGGATTGTGATAAGAGTTGTATGAGCCCTTAATAAAACGATTTTTTTTAAAAAGCCGAATTCGCTGCCAGCAAGTCGATTCTGGCTCATAGTGATCACAAAGGGCACAGAACTGCTCCTGTGGGTTTCCAAGACTGTCATTCTTTATGGAAGCAAAAAGCCCCATCTTCCTCCTGTGGAGTGACTAGTGGTTTCAAACTGCTGACCTTGTGGTTGGCAGCCCAATTCATAACCAACTAACTACACCACCAGGACTCTTTAATTAGAAGAATTGGGGAGAAGGGATCTGCTGTGACTGGACAGGAACTCAGTGGAACTTTCGGGGGTGTTGGCAATATTCCATGTCTTGAATTGGGTTGTGTTTGCCCAAGAGTATAAAGCCAACCCACTCCCTAAGGAGTTGGTTGAGACTCACAGTGACCCTCTCAGACAGGGTCAGAGCAGCCTCACAGGCTTCCCAAGGCTATAAAGAGGCTTTTGAGAAGCTGATTGCCACATCTTTCTCCCTCACCTTTTGACTAATAGCCAAGTACTTTGCCTCTGCATCATCTGGACTTGCTTATGTAAAAATTCCATCGAACCTACACCCTTAGGATTCATGCACTGGTGTACATCATGCTCGGTAAAATTTAATAATTATACCATGTATTATTGTTCAATTATTATCTTGCCTTGATAGAATTTAACAATAATACCTAGTAAAAGTGATCTTAGGTATTATTATTAAATTAGCATCATTCCTCAATAATACTAGTACTGATGATTATTATTTCACAGGAAGACCTAGTCATAATTAGGTATTACATAATCAGCACATAATTATGATTAGGGATTATCTATTGTTAAATTTTGTTGAGTCATGATCTATAGCAAACGCATGCCTCTCAAGTGTGTAAGCTTGAAGGAATTTTACATAAGCTAGGCCTGGTGACACAGTGGTGAAGCATTCAACTGGTAATGCAAAGGTTTGGAATTGGTATCCATCAGTCACTCAACTGGGAAAAAATGAGGCAAGCTGCATTGGAAGTCCTATGGACAGTTTTACATTAGTAACCTAAAGGTTTGCAGTTCAAAACCACCAGCCACTCCGTGGAAGAAAGATGGGGCTTTCTACTCCCATAGTTACAGTCTTGGAAACCCACAGGGGCAGTCCTATTCTGTCTTAATAGGATTGCTCTGAGTCGATGGCAGTGAGTTTTATGTGGGAATGCACTCATAGCAGTGCATGGGCTTCTCAAAAGCAAAGTGGAATGCACCCTGGTGGTACAGTGTTTACGCATTAAGCTGCAACCCAACCGGCAGCGGCTCCTCTGCTCCTCAGGACAAAACCCCTGGAGGTCGGCTTCTGCAAAGATTACAGCCTAGGAACCCCAATGGGGCAATTCTACTTTGTCTTATAAGGTCACTCTTGAGTCAGAATCGACTTGATGCCAAAGGTTTAATGTGGGCCTTTGAACATTCAGGGCAGCGCCTGCCTCTTGGGCCTGAATCACCGCCTGGTACTGCTGGTTCAGGAAGATCATTGGATAAGGCTTGGGATCCGCTGTGTGCAAAGGGCTGCAAGTGTAGGGGCAACCACCGCGCCCTGAGCGTGCCCAGGGCCAGCGGTGAACGTGACTCCGGGTCTCGGGGTCACCCTGGCCACACGAGACGCTAGCCAATCAGCGGCCGGCCCGGCCCAGGGTCACTCCACTCGGGGCCTCCGTCACCTAGTCTGACCACGCACCGCCAATGGGAAGCGGCCGGCCGCCCGGCGCCCGCTCTCGGGCTCTTCCACAAGTCTCCGCCGCGATCACGTCACTCCGAACGCCGGTTGGCGGACTTCCAACCAATTACTGACGCGGTTCACTCCTTCCAGCCAATGACCGCCCTCCTCCCTGTCCTGAACGGCAATGGTTGGCGCTAAGCACCCGCAGCCCGAGGGAGGCGGGGCCGGATTGGCGCCAGGGGCGTCCAATGGGCGGCGCACGCGAACCG